TAGCCCTGCACATACTTAAAATAATTGTGCAAGATCCTATGTTTGGAAAGCCTAAAAGCGTGACACGAATACATGACACTTGCTTTATTAGAGGATGCAAATGGCTACGCTTGCCTATTTCCCAAGTCACCATGTTTCCTACGAGAATTAGAGAGACGACTTACCCGTTTTAGGGGTAGTTCTCAGGAAAATCATTTGAGTGGGAGATGGAGAAAATTCCAGAAGTACTGTGTAATTGAGAAGAGGACCAGAAAAGGGAGAATAAGAAGGGTTTTTACATTTTTTTCATTGATTTCATTCATAGTTTCACCATGACACTGGAATCTGCAGTTCTGTAAGGTAACTGAAGTAATAGAGTAAAACGTTTTCTGATAAAACTAACTAAAAATAATTTTCTGGTGAAAGTTATGAACCAATTATATATATATATAGATAAATAGTTAACATATTTTAATAATTATTAAAAATCTTATTTTAAACTTTTTTGCTAATTTTTTCCATGTAACGTTCATCCTTCAAGTCCTTAATAGTTTTTTCCGCTCGTTGTGTGATAAATATGAGAGCCGTCAAAGGAAACACATAATCACCAAGTCATAATGAGACAGCATTTGAAAAAGAATTATAACAACATCCTGAGGATGAGCAGGTTCTGTTCACTTTGGGCCAGGAGTAGAAAGAGGAAGAGAAAGATCATGGAAGTTCAGATTTACATGTTGTGACTTGGAAATGAGAAAGAAACTTGTGAAGGTGAGGGTATTGAAGTGGACTTCTTTCTTCAAGTTTGGGTGGAATTACATGGAACATTCTTTGGTTAAGAGGCTTAGAGTAAAATCACAGGCAAGAGAAAGAAAAAGATAACTGGATTGATTTGTCAACAACAGAGGAGACTGTTTTGACAGCATTCCCCAGCTAACTGCTTCTCCTTTCCCTTCTCCCAGCCATCTTTGTCCTTCTCCCTTCCTTTGGTGAAATTTTTAATTTAGTGGAGACTCTCCAGGATGTTTTTGTGGTGAACCCAGGCAACTGTTAATGACTGGCTCAACATCGTGCAGGTTTTTTTTCCTAAAAACTCTTAGAGGAAATGGATTAAGTATTTTTCAAAAGACAAATCCTTCTAAATTAGAAGGAATTGGTGTGACCTCTTACTTAAAAGAGAAATTTGATGTACTTCCAGTGGAGGATGTACTGTCTGTCCATATATAGAAACAAGCATATAGGAAAAAAATGAGTCATTTTTTAAAAGTGATCGCATTAAATAGTCATCACTCCAAATGCATAGGTCTTGGCACGTGGAATTGAAGGAACAGTTACTATCAGTAGGAATTTATTTCTGGTTTTACTTGTGTCTATCTTTGTTCCAGTATACTAGGAACAAACCAATTTTCTAGAAACCAGGCTCCTTTCAGAAGCAAACCTGACTTAGAAAGGATGGCCTGGGGAAGTCGAGCCTGGGCTTTGTTTTGGTTGCTGTTGGAGTTTACTTTCCTTTCACTTGGACTATCAAATTATGAACTAACTAGGCAGGAAGATGTGGAGGAAGCACTATGTCCTGTTCCTTTAACCCGCAAAGCAGACAGTGTTAGGGTGTTATCTTCCTAACAGTGGGAAGGAAATAAAAAGAATAGAAGAGCCCCAAACTATACGATTGGCATCAGTATGGAATCCTTGTTTCGTTATCAGAAGTCTAAAATTATCTAGGTGGATTTAAAAGCTGCTAACGATTGTGTGGGAAAATAGCTTAATTAACAGTTTTACCATGGATCCTAAATGCCATCTTTCCTGATTTTGCTGCTAAACCCGTTTTCTTTCCTTTAAAATCAGGTCCCCTGTTACATATTTATGTTTCAGTTCATGTCACCCTCATTCTGCTGCTGACCTGGAGTTGAAACCTTGAAGTCTTCATGAGTTTTTCCTCCCCACCCCTTCACCCTCAGTCCTGATGATTTTTCTTCCTTTTACATCTGTCCCCTTCCTCTCAATTCCTGATGTAGCCACCCTGCTTCAGGCCACCTGCACCATTGAAATTTAACACCAGTTGCCTTCTGATATAATTTTCATTTATTCAGTAAAAAATTCTTGAGGGCCTATTGTGTGTCAGGCTGTATGCTGGGGATGTAGGTGAAAAACACAATTTCCTTGTCCTTAGGAGTTTACATTTTAATGAGGGAACCCCACGTACCACCAAGTGCAGTCAAGTGAGATGGTATGGAATTCAGAGGAGTCACTAAAGTCTCCTGCTATTTCATGGCAGTATGTTTTGATCCGTGTCGTTTTAATATTTAAAGCTTTTTTTTTTTCTTGTTCTTAAATGTTAACTTTTGCACTTTGATTCCTTTTCTATCCCTAATGGCTGTGGTGACAACTAGTTACTATCTTCTTAATAATAGCTCTCCAAATGTTTGACCAAGAAACACCTCTCAGCTCTCTCTTTAGTCAAAATAAACTTAATTTCTTCACAGGTGCTGCATCCCCATTACTAACAATCCAATCTGTCGATACTTTGGAGTCCAAAACAGTACACAGATGGAATGATTCAAAAAGCCTTTGGAGCAGAGCTCCTCACACCTATCGCTGGGATTTTGTTACAACACAGGTCCTGATTCAGTAGGTTCAGATGGGGCCTGAGATTCTACATTTCCAAGAAGCTTCCAGGAGGTGTTCAATTTCCACTTGGAAATTGAACATGTGTCCTGCTAAGAGGGTTTTGGAAGATGTAAAGAGATAAGGAATTAAGATAAAAACAGGTGAAGGGAGCCAGGCATGGTGGCTCACACCTGTAATCTGGCACTGTGAGAGACTGAGGCAGGAGGATCACTTGAGGTCAGGAGCTCAAGAACAGCCTGAGCAAGAGTGAGACCATGTCTCTACCAAAAATGGAAAAAAATAGCTGGGTGTGGTGACAAACATCTGTAGTCCCAGCTACTCAGGAGGCTGAGACTAGAGGATTGCTTGAGCCCAGGAGTTTGAGGTTGCAGTGAGCTATGATGCTGCTGCTGCATTCTACCTGGGGCAACAGAGCAAGACTCTGTCTCAAAGAAGAAAAAAAAAAAAAACATGTGAAGTTATGTTTTCTCCTTCCTGTATGGATGGATCCTGCAGTCTGTACATCCTGTTAACTCACATTTAGTCTTGCTAATCTAAAACAACAATTAACTACTCACTGGGGTAGTTGGCAGTGAATCTTGCCAGTGATCTAACTAGAAAGCTTCCACCCTCCACACCCCCATGTCAGCCTCTGGGGAGTGAGTCTCTTCATGTCATGGTGAGCTGTGATAAGGTGTGCACCCACCTAATCGAGGCTGTGATATGATTCCCTGAGGCCCCCAGCCACTGAGTAATAGGAAACCCCATCTTTGGCAGTGGGAGGTGTTCCTTTTGGCATTCTGCCTCCATCCAACTGGTTTGTGTAACAGTTGGGCTTCAGGAATGGCTTCTGAGGCAAGTCTGTATCTTACAATGTGTAACCAGGAACTGGCAGAAAATTTATCTTTAGCTTTTAAGATTCCCGTTAGAAATTCTCAACTTGTAACTTTGGCAGTTAAGTGACCTGCCCATGACCTGCTCAAAGAGCCTGCCAGAGTGGAATGCAACTGTCTCTTTATTCTGCTTGAGTGTTTTTCCTGGTGATTTTCTGTGGATCTTCTACTGGCTCCACCTACCTTCTTCTGTTCTGGGCATATTCTTGTATTCTTGTAGACCAGGCAACAGAAAAGCAGTTGCGACAAGCATTTTGTTCCTGCGTCTTTACAACCAATGTTAGAAAGAATTATTTCCGGCCAGGCGCGGTGGCTCACGCCTGTAATCCTAGCACTCTGGGAGGCCGAGGCGGGCAGATTCTTTGAGCTCAGGAGTTCGAAACCAGCCTGAGGAAGAGCGAGACCCCGTCTCTACTAAAAATAGAAAGAAATTAATCGGACAACTAAAAATATATAGAAAAAATTAGCCGGGCATG